TGTGCTTGCTACTGGTTTTGAACATAACAACAACATTAAACGGGGTTAATACAATGTATATGCTCAAAGGCTTCACTTTTATTAGACCAAACTTAGGTCAATGCAATCCGAACGAAACATCGAAACGAACGAAACATCAACAGACTATTTGCAAAAGTGGCCCGTTAAGAGCAAAGAAGCCAACACATTGTGCCGAAATGGAACGAGTACTGACTAGCTACCTACAAACGCGAGACAGGGCTTAGCTTTCGCGATCAAAAGCAATATACCCATACATACAAACATGTTACAACATACCCCACCCGGCTCTGATACAACATGTACCTCGCCGCCATCTTGAAAAAACATCCTCGTGCTCAAAAACAGCGGACAGCTGGAGAAATCCATTTTCACTCACGCAGCCTTAGAACCTACCCTCACCACCGCTACGGAGATCTTTCAAATTCGTGCACATCTAAATGCCCAAAACACACATTTTCTTGCAACTCATTTTTTTAGAATGACATTAAAAAAACATAAAATCGGCTCTCACCTCGAGACGCGTCCACCCAGCCACACGACAGAACAGGGAAAGATGGCGCCCGGAAAACCTCGTCGGCTGGTCGTGTCACGAGCGCTATCTATTGGATAAGTTTGGCACAATTCGCCCTGATACAACTTGGACATGATACAACTCTCCCCGCTCTCCCCTATAAGACAATACCAGCACGCCGCACGGTGCAGGAGAATGCGTATACAAACGACCAACGCTTGACCGGATCTGCTTGGGGTCGGCATAGTTCGTCAAAGGCGTACTAGCTAGGGGCCAGGGTGACCGTGCCCCCGCCTCGGATCAAACAGGCTGGGGGCCAGCAATGTCTGTATCTGCCCCTCCCCTTCCACTTTCAGTGCAGTGGCGGTCGCAAAGGGGGATCAGGGCCATACCCTCCCCCCCCCTCCAAAGGCTAATCAGGGGGCCATCATATCATTTGACCCCCCAAACAACCAATGGGCCCCCATGGGCGTATGGGGCTCTGGCCCTTATTCGATTGTCACGAGGCTCAAGAATCCCACGCTAGCTATTAACCCGCGCCCTGCTGGGGGGGGGGTGTTTGAACACCCCCCCCCCCTGTGGTTTTTCGCGAATATCTCAAAAACGGCGGCGCGGAGCGCCGCCGTTTTTGGTACACCTTATCATACATCAATTCTACACATGTTGTGAAAATTTCAGACCAAGGTCATTCAAGGTCAGGTCACCAGGTCACTCGAAGTGACCTCACCTCATAAAAAGTTTCAATGTCTGTCATAGCTACACCGAGTGACCGATCGCTTTGAAACTTTCAGCGATTGCTAAGAGCATTAGCATGTACAAAATGTATATCTCAGAATTTTGATATCGATGACCTAAGGTCAGGTCAATTTTGCGACCTCACCATTATAAGTCAATGGGAGAAAATTGAAATGCGCCTGTTTTGGACGAAAGACATTATAAACACTCCCAAACACTGAATTACAAGTGGTTTAGACACACTGAACATGAAAATGGTGTCTGTGACCCCTGTTTATGCCCTGAGGTCATCTTAGGTCACGAATGGTATCTAACAGTTTTTCGCAAATAACTTTTGATAGAGGCATGCTAGAGCGATGAAAACGCCTTAGATGTGTTCAGCTCGACGATACGGATCGGCTGATATGCAACATGACCCTTTCCGGTCAGGTCATGACCTTGACCTGAGGTCAAATTTTCAAGTTGACCTTTCAAGGTCAAATTATAGTTCGTTCGATGCGTCTTGACGAGAGGAACACGATGCCGGTAAAAGTAAGCTCGTACAATGCTTGGGTCAAAAGTTATTGCAGAAAAACTTTCCGAAAAAATCGGCTATTTTTGTAGTTTTTGCCCCCTGCAGGCAAAACCGTTGACGTTAGGTCAAATCTGAGAAAATTACTCAGAAAGGGCGTTAATAGGGCTATCGAATGCGCTTTTCCGCGGCGCTGTAGCTCTATTGGTTCCCGAGTTATGCGTTGGCTTCTTGGAAATTTTCGACATTCGACCTGGAAATCGGCGAAAATTTGCCTTCAATGACCTCTGGTGACCTGACCTTTGACCTGACCAAAAAATTGACCGAAGTAATTTCCTCATTATTTTTGACGCTCTTTCGAACGCCGCCTTCCGCGTATCGCTACGTGGCCCAGGAGCCGAGTTAGAAGGGGGGGGGTGTTCAAACACCCCCCCCAGCAGGGCGTGGAAATCCAGGACCCCCAGCCGGGCGCGGGTTAACAGCTCCCAAACCAGTCTTTGAGGGTCCTACATTGATCTCGGAGGGCCCTTCAGTGGCGGTCAAGCGCCCACATTGACCGCTGAGAACCCACATTGACCTCATTTGAGGGCCCCTAAACCGGCCTCAAGGGCCCAGCCGGCGTCTGAGAGCATCACACCGGCCTCTGGTGGCCTCATTTCTGTCTCTGGGGTCCCAAGACTAACCTTTAGGTGCCTCTGAGGGTCCCGCACTGAATTCTGAAGACCCGATGCCGGCCTCTAAGGGTCCGCATCGGCCTCTGAGGGTCCATCTTGGCCTTAGGGGTCCAACGCCGGCCCATGCCGGTCTGTTAGGGCCCCACACTGACCTCTAAGGGCCCATGCTGGCCTGTAAGGACCCACATTAGCCTATGAGGGCCTTGCACGGGATTCTGAAGACCTGATGCCGGTCTCTGAGGCCCATCTTGGTTTTTGAGGGTCTTCTGCTGGTCTCAGGGGTCCAACACCGGCCCATGCCGGTATTTTAGGGTCCCACATTGACCTCTGGGCTCTGAGGGACCCTCACTGGATTCTGAAGATCCTATGCCGGTCTCTAAGGGTCCGCATCGGCCTCTGAGGGCCTACCTTGGCCTATGAGGGCCCTCCGCTGGTCTCCAGGTTCCTGGTCCCGCCCATGGCGGTCTGTTACGGCCCCACACTGACCTCTAAGGGCCCATGCTGGCCTGTAAGGACCCGCATTGGCCTCTGAGGGCCTTGCACTGGATTCTGAAGACCCGATGCTGGCCTCTGAAACTCATCTTGGGTTTTGAGGGCCTTCTGCTGGCCTCTGGGGTCCAACACCGGCCCGGCCCATGCCGGCATTTTAGGGTCCCACACTGACCTCTGAGGGCCCATGCTGGCCTGTAAGGACCCACATTAGCCTCTGATGGCCCAAGTCGGCATCTAAAGGTCTCATCCTGCCCTTTGCAGGCCCTGTACTGGTCTCTGAGGGCCTTAACCCTCGCCGGCCGATGGGGGGGGGGGGTGCCGCCCCTCCATAGTTTTTTTTTTCGCGATAGCTCCGAACACGCCGGCGATAGAGAGCTGAAGCTTTGCATAGCTGACCTTTGAATCAAGCCGAATCTTTTGGCACCAACTGCATTTTCGGGTCAGATCAGGTCACTGACCCATGAGGTCATAAGTGAACCTCTGCACGGTCTTCAGATGTCGCAACTTCGCAACGCCCTCACTGCCAGAGGAGATTTCACAGGGAAATGAACCTTGGACTTTGGAGGACCTAGTATCCATTAGGAGTCTCACAACTCATATGAGGTCAGGTCATTTTCGTGACCTCACCATTAGGTATAAGTCAATGGGGATAAACTGAAAACTTTTTCTGGCGCCGGAAACGATCTCCAAATATCTCAAGCACACCGAATCGTGATTTCATGCTTTCCTTGCAAGGTTCGATGCGTCACTTTTGCAATGTTGACCTTGCGCGACGTCATTTATGAAGTTATAAGGGTCATATTAGTTTGACGTCAATACCTACCGATCAAATTGAGCTAGCGAGTCGGGAACGCCATCAATGGACTCAGGAAGACCTGCCGAATCGGATGATATGCGACATGAGCTCAATCGACCAATGTCGTGACCTGGGGGGCGCTGATCTGACCGTGACCCGAGGTCAACACCCTCAGTTTACCTCACCCAAACAAAAAGTATATATCATTCGACGCGCCTGAGAGAGGCGAACACGATGCTGGCAAAATCGCGGCTCTGCGGCCGTTTTTTAAGTTATTCATTTAAAAACGGAACCGTGCCTTGAGACACTTGACCTGACCTCAGAGGTCACCGGTTGACCTAGGACCTTAAAATCGGGTATCGATCTCTGCGTCTTGTAACGGCGCACACGCTCGACGCTCGTTTTTCCGCGACTTGCTAGCTCCACCTGGGGCGAAACGGCGAGGGGGTCGTACCCGCCCCCGCCCCGTCGGCCGGCGCGTATGTAGAAAACCTATAGGTCCGGGCCGTCGAGGGTTAAACTGGCCTCTGAGGGCCCAGCCCGACCTCTAAAAGTCCCACATCTGCCTCTGATAGTCAATCAGCCCAGTTGCAGTGGTCGCTGAGCTGATATAAAACCTCTAAAAACGTTATAGGTTTGGTTGAGCCTAGCTGGGCCGTTCATGCTGATTTTTATAGGTATATTGAAAAGACTCGCTTTGCACTTTTCACGCTTGCTCGTAATGAAAAAGTTGCTGGATGCCTCTGGAATTTGCATGGGTGCCAACGGCTGCGGAGGACAGGGGAACGCGTCCATCAGTTTGAGTTTATGGACGGGAGTCTCCCTGAAATTTTAACCAATTTTGTTTTTGTTTTTGTCTCAATTTTTTTTTATCTCTGAGCATGTTTGTGAAAAGAAAGTGGCCGAAATCCGAGGAGAAATTGGATTTTGGGGGTAGGTTAGGTTTTGGACCTCTGTGAACCTGGCCCCCCCACTTTCGAAAACGTTCCTACGCCTATGCACTCACCACAGGTCGCCAACACCATGTTGGCGACAACACTTCCTCACACCCCACGGAAATGAATATCGACGCATCCGGCATATCTGTCATTTACATACCTACATAAAATATTCCAAATATACCAGCAAAAAGTATCTGACATGACTATTACTCTGATCACAGTCCCTGTTTCACCTCTCCCTGAACGGTGTTACCATAATCAGTTAGGTATATGGTGTTCGTCACTATACCTAACCACTTACAACGATAACCTGTCCGTGTCACCACCACTCACTGAACATGACCAGCGCGGTAACCCGTGGTCCCAGCTCCTTGGCTAGCTGGTTGATGACGTCATCTCCCGCCTGTTGTATGACGACCTCCAGCCCATGGTCGGACCGTCTGCTCTTCGCCAGTTTCGCCGGCTTCCCCGTCTCCCCCGGTCCTGTCGGAGAGAGAGCTGTGTCAGCTGACTGCAGTCGGACGGAGCTGCCGCCGGGATGGGAGGCCGCTGATACTATGGTATGTAACAATGAAACAGCCGATACTGACACCAACACAGCCGACTCGTCACTGATAGGAATGAGTTTGGCAATGTCTGTTGTATACAAGCACACATATTGTTGTACCTACATAGCTCAGCATGGACCATGAACTATGAACAATAGAGATTGAACACTATCGACGATGCTGTCAAAACTCTCTGTATTGGATGTCAGGTAATGATCAACATTAGGCGTCTGTTTCGTATGATCATTTGTAGAGCATGTGGTCTTCAAAACAACGTCTATCATAATTTTGACAAGAGTTACAGTGAATACGCATTACACATTTTTCTGTGATGATGCCACTGCCCGCTAAAACACTGTTTTTGTATGTAGATTAATTAACCCGCGCACCGACGGGGGTCTGCGCCAACTTAGTACCGACGGGGGGGGGGGGGGGGGCGGATGACCGCCCCCCCCTGAGATCTCGAGAACGAAGCAAGATAGCGACAAGCGGTAAACGGCATCGGATACGCACGGACAAGGTCTACAATTTTTACTAAGGTCATTTTCAGGTCAGGTCAAAGATGACGTCACAGGGGTCGAAAAAGTCAAAATGGCGGCGCTAGATATGGAGAGGGTTTTTCTCGAATAACTTTCGAAGTAGTCAAGATAGGAACAAACTAAGGGCATCATCGTGATCCTCTCGTCAATCCGCATCGAATGATATATATGTTGACCTCGAAAGGTCAAGGTCAAAGGTTGACCTCAGGTCACGTGACCTCGAGGTCATCATGTATATCATTCGATGCGTCTTGACGAGCTGAACACAATGAGACCATCCGCGCGGCTGTATCTTGTGCCTGTAAGGAGTTATTGGCAAAAAACCTTTGGTGACCTTTGATGACGTCACATGACCTTACAGCTGCCCAACAGCAAAACAGACCTCAAGGTAGTGAAGGTTGATCGTATGTGAAGTCATGTATGGTATATGGGGCCATTCCGACCCGTTTTAGTGGTAAAAACAGGGAGTTGATTTTTCCCCCATTGACTTATAATGGGGAGGTCGCGAAATTGACCTGACCTTAGGTCACCGACATCAAAATTCCGAGATATACAAATTGTAGCTACTGATGACCTAATAACATCCTGCGACTTTCAAAGGCCTCCGACATCTACTGTAGCTCTGGCACGGTGACAAAGTTGCAAAAAAGTGACTTGAGGTTGGGTCATTCAAAGTGACCTGGTGACCTGACCTTAAAAGTTAGGAGGTTCAAACTTGCACACCATGTGTAAAATTGATGAGGTTATAGTCATACCAAATTTCGCGGCGCTACGCGCCGCGGTTTTCCCGCTATCCGCGAAAAACCTCAGGGGGGGGGGCGGATATCCGCCCCCCCCGTCGGTGCGCGGGTTAATATTATTGCATATGGTATCGGACCGGCTAAACATTACAGCCCACATGCATGGCTGCAATCGCAATACCTACTACTAAGCGCTGTCCTCACCACACAGCAGTGTGATTAGGTACAAGTTTCATCGATGACATCTCACCGTAAACGTCCAGGCGCCTCAAGGACGGCGGCAGCAGCTGCAGCCACCGTCCCGTCGAGTCAGGAGGAATGGAGACTGTGAGCTCCTCCAAGGTTCGGAGGGACTCCAAAACCATTATCACCTGCTTCTCGCTATGACCCGGTGGAAATGTGAACTGCTTCACAGTCGAGAGTTCCTCCTTCTGGACCGTGACTACACTGGCCGCAGGTGATTGGCTCGATGTCGGCATCGAGACGTCACTGGCCGCCGGCCACTGGAGCCCTCTCTGTGCTGTGTCGTTGATGCTGGTTTCTGTAGATTGACTGCAAAAGCAAACGAGAATAACGTTGAAGGCTCATACATAAAACTCGCACCTAGATTGAGAGGGAGCGGTCAGGTGAACCCAATCAGTTTTTGACAAATAACTAATTCGCGTAAAAAAGGGAAATCACGACGAAACTTTCAGTAGCCTGAAGTTGAAATTACACTTATGCCCTAACATTTCATGCTGCTGATCCAGCTGGCCTTAATTTGTGACCTGTTTCTCGAGACCAAGTCGGTTGGTCTCGAGACTGAGACATCTGGTTGATGCACATTGATTTAACAGACGATCAACTGTATCAAAATTATTTCTACCTGGCGACTCGTAGCTCGTATTTGCCCTTATTTACACCCCCCCTCCCCCCGGGATAGACGACTTCTCAGGAATTATAACTGAACTAATAAATAAATCACACGGCGTGTAACATAACAGGGCCTCGGCTAACATACTGGGGCAAATGCCCCTACTGCACCTAATTCCTTGACTCTACTGGGGCAAATGCCCCAGTAGAGTCCAGGAATGCCCCAGTAGTGGTCAGGCTTTGCCCAACATTCACAAAATGATCATATCTTAACCCGCGCCCTGCTGGGGGTCCTGGATTTCCACGCCCTGCTGGGGGGGGGGGGTGTTTGAACACCCCCCCCCCCTTGTAAGTCGGCTCCTGGGCCACGTAGCGATACGCGGAAGGCGGCGTTCGAAAGAGCGTCAAAAATAATGACGAAATCACTTCGGTCAATTTTTTGGTCAGGTCAAAGGTCAGGTCACCAGAAGTCATTTAAGGCAAAATTTCGCCGATTTCCAGGTCGAATGTCGAAAATTTCCAAGAAGCCAACGCATAACTCGGGAACCAATAGAGCTACAGCTCCGCGGAAAAGCGCATTCGATAGCCCTATTAACGCCCTTTCTGAGTAATTTTCTCAGATTTGACCTAACGTCAACGGTTTTGCCTGCAGGGGGCAAAAACTGCAAAAATAGTCGATTTTTTCGAAAACACTTTTTTCTGCAATAACTTTTGACCCAAACCTTGTACGAGCTTACTTTTACCGGCATCGTGTTCCTCTCGTCAAGACTCATCGAATGAACTATAACTTGACCTTGAAAGGTCAACTTGAAAATTTGACCTCAGGTCAAGGTCATGACCTGACCGGAAAGGGTCATGTTGCATATCAGTCGTTCCGTATCGTCGAGCTGAACACATCTAAGGCGTTTTCATCGCTCTAGCATGCCTCTATCAAAAGTTATTGGCGAAAAACTGTTAGATACCATTCGTGACCTAAGATGACCTCAGGGCATAAACAAGAGTCACGGACACCATTTTCATGTTCAGTGTGTATAAACCACTTGTAATTCGGTGTTTGGGAGTGTTTATAATGTCTTTCATCCAAAAGAGGCGCATTTCAATTTTCTCCCATTGACTTAAAATGGGGAGGTCGCAAAATTGACCTGACGTTAGGTCATCGATATCAAAATTATGAGATATACATTTTGTACATGCTATTGCTCTTAGCAATCGCTGAAAGTTTCAAAGCGATCGGTCACTCGGTGTAGCTATGACAGACATTGAAAGTTTTTATGAGGTGAGGTCACTTCAAGTGACCTGGTGACCTGACCTTGAATGACCTTGGTCTGAAATTTTCACAACATGTGTAGAATTGATGTATGATAAGGTGTACCAAAAACGGCGGCGCTCCGCGCCGCCGTTTTTGAGATATTCGCGAAAAACCACAAATGGTGGGGTGTTCAAACACCCCCCCCCCCCAGCAGGGCGCGGGTTAAGTCTTAACCCTCGTCCGTATTGGTGGGGGGTCGAACGGACCCCCCTTGGCTTTTCGCGAATAACTCGCGTAATAAACGGCCGATCGCGACGAAACTTTCAGTACCCTCGCGGGCCTCGCGTTAATCAATTTTACACCTACCCTAATAAAATTCATGACCCTGATCCCAATGACCTTTGACCAGTGACCTCATTTTCGAGACAATGTTTGGCCAAGATCGCGATTCGGCGTATGTCGGCTCGCATTAGCCGCGCGTTTGCAGTCTTTTCATGGTTTCAAGCGTTCAAACATGGGATATCGTGTTCCTCCCATGCATTAGGGGGAGTGTCAATGTCACCAGAAGGTCAGGTCAGGTCATTGACCTTTGATGATTTCGGTTGTTGCCTTCGTAACATGTTAAGAATCTGTCAGAGGCGGTTGCCACCTACTATGAATACCCGGCAAAACCCTTACTGGTTATCCTGACCTGACCAGACCTGGCCTAAATGTATGAAGACACCCTCTATGATCATAACTGACATGATATTGGTGATCATCACCCCGAACAACCCCAAAGAAGCCACGTGTTACGATGTTCTAACAGGTCCCGATTTTCCCGACTTTTGGGTCATTGACTTGATCTGCAAGGTGAACTAATGACCTAGGACCTTAAAATTGGGTATCATCGGCTTTCTCCCGTCATGGGCAACACGCTCGTTTTTTTTCGCGAAGCTCTTTGCTCAATCAGGGGCCAAACGGCAAGGGGAGTCCAACGGACCCCCCCCCTCCCCTTTATACGTTCGCGGCTGACAAACCACCAATACGGGCGAGGGTTAACAATCAAGTTGAGTATTTCGTCGCCTAACTCTCGAAGATTCGTATGTCCGCTTCTCTATGGAGTTTGGACCGTAACGTGTTAGAACGTCGTGAAGTGTGGCTGCTATGGGGGTTTTCGGGGTGCTGATCACGAATATCATCGGTTAGCTTTGATCACAAATGATGTCTTCATGCATTTAGGCCAGGTCGGGTAAGGTCAGGTCAACCAGTAGGGGTCCTGCCGGGTATTCCTAGTACCTATGTGTCAACGGCCTCTGACAGCTTCGTAACATGCTACGAAGGTACAACAAGTACTTCGTAAATGTTCAATCAAAGGGTTGCTAAATTTGAATTCAGCTCCAAAACTAGCCTAGTAACATGTAAAACTCAAAAAAGGAATCGAGGTCATTATAAAATTAATCACCTGACCTGACCTTCAGGTCACCTTGACACCCGCCCTAATGCATGGGACTACTATCTTTTCGCATGTTTGAACGCTGCAAACCACGAAAAAAAAACTGCAAACGCGCGGCTAATGCAAGCCGACATACGCCGAATCGCGATTCCGGCCAAACATGGCCTCGAGAAAAAGGTCACAGGTCAAAGGTCATATGGGTCAGGGTGATGAAATGTTTAGGGTAGGTGTAAAATTGATTATCCCGGCAGTTGTTGGGGTATTTTGCCATCCACCGTTTGCTGGGGGGGGGGGGGAATAAACGCCCCCAGCCGATAACTCGAGAACCAATAGGCGCAGCGAAACGCACGAGGCGGCAAACGAAAGAACGCGACGTGACGCTTCAGATGAGTACTTCTAAGTTGAATTTTGAGTTCACAGGTCGGGTCAAGGTCAGGTCAAACCCCTGAAATCGGGTTTTCAGTAGCATGGACTTCAGAACCTCGCAATGGGCGCCTCTCGTCATAATTTCTGTCACAACGGTGCACAATCCTTTATATAAGGCCTAAAAGAGTGTCAGATCCGTGTAAGAGTCAGTCAAGCATAGGTCAGGGTCAAGGTCAGGTCTACCAGGTAGGCACATATCCCCGAAAATCAAAACTGATATTCGCAGCCTGTGACACATGTTTTAGGGGTAATTTTGGACGTAGAACACGATGGTGGCATTAATCTTATCATATGCGTACGTGTTTGGTTCAAAAAGTTAAATTGAAGAAATGCATGTATCATGGTCGTGAAGTAGTCACGAGAAATTGCCAAGATTCAGTTCAAGATTTTGGAAAATGCGGAACGATAATCAAAAATCGAAGATAGCCATTTGATTGTTCATGGTATTGGCAGTCTCATGGCGTTTACGGCATGTTTGTATGTCTTATCTGTGATTTTATGTTTTTTTAACATATGCCGTTTTTGGTCGAAAACTCAGAAATTATTACGTCACTAAAACCTCGATATCTCAAAAAAGCTTCGTCCGATTTTTTGAAACTTTGTCATAAGAAACTTCAATCAATTCCCTACAGGTATCCAAATTGTGTTTATGCTATAGCGCGGCGAAAAAAGTGGGGGGGCGTTTCACGCCCCTCCCCCCCCCCCCAGCAACTCGCGGGTTAACGCGAGGTACTGAAAGTTTCGTTGCGATCGGCCGCTTTTTACGAAAGTTATTCGCGAAAAACCGATGGCAGTAGGGGTCCGTTCGACGCCTCCCCCCTCCCCGCACTATATGGGCGAGGGTTAATTTAACCCTCGCCCGCACATGCCATTTTACCATCCTAGAACGCACATGGGGGGTTGCCACCACCACCCCCCCCCCCGCGCCATTTCGTTCCTGTTGAAGATAGAGCTTCGCGGTAAAGACCAAAAAGATTCTTTGGGAAGAGACGAATACAATGATACCCAGTTTTACCTTCTCAGGTCAGTCATTGACCTTCCAGGTCAGGTTAAACTAAAAAATGTTCCTGTTTTGGGTCACCGTTGGATATCAAGTGCGCTGCTTATCATATACCGATGACGATGCCGTTTTCTGGTACCAAGCCAGCTAGAACCTCTTTGTCACACTTCCCGACCAGGTTTTTGCGGCTGAGGTCATTTCAGGTCAAGCTAGGTCAAGGTCAATGATATGTGTTTGTATGTCTGTGTGTGTCTGTGTGTATACTGATGTGTGCACCGATTGTTTATGTGTCCATATTACCTACATGAAATCATAATCTGAGAAGCTTTTACCAAAAATACAGTCAAAAAATTCACGAAAAGCAAATTCAACTTGCCTAACGCAATTATTTTAGATGACCTAGGTTGACCTAGACCCTGACCTTGACATCAGTACATCGTCGAACAACATGTTCCATGATAGGTGGGAGGTAAGACTGGCAAAAAAAAGGCCGAAAGCAAGGTGTCAAAAGCTCATAAGGCCCATAGCCAACGCAAGATGTTAATAATTGGTCATTTGGGTCATGACATGACCTGAAAAAGAAAGTCATATCTCCGAAAAAACAGAAACCTGAAAGTTGAAATTTTCAGTGGACATCAAGAAAGGATAGAGGAGCAGCTACACGAAAAATCAGGCTTCTAGCTCTAAAGATATTGAGTGCAGAGCAGAAAGCCTACCTGGGGGGGGGGGGGGGAACCCCATGTGCGGGCGAGGGTTCACAGTCTTCTATATCATCATGCAAAAGGGTATGGAGTTATTTATTAGCAGTTACTGACTAATGCCAGCGCTGCAAAAGCCCAGCATATTACGTTAACCCTCGCACGACCAGGCCATTTCTCATAACACGAACGACCAGGGGGGGGGGGTTGTTACGACCCCCCCCCCTGGCGTTTCGAAACGGAAGGTCGTAGAGCTTAGCGGAAAAACCAACGGATTGCTCTCAACGAGATCTCGCGATTGGTGGTATATTTTTTGGTCCTAGGTCAACATTTGACCTACTTTTGACCGGTCAAAGGTCAAATTTTCGGAAAAATATACTTTTTTTCAACTTTCGGCGGCGATTGCGGCAAAACGGTGGGAGATATCGACTTGAAACCTTCACTATCGTGTTCCTTGATCAATTCTCTATCGTTTGGTATGTATTTCGTTTCCCTAGCTCTAAAAATGGCGCGTTGGGAGCGCCGGAAGTCGGAAAGGTCACAGTCGGCGGCAGAAATTCGAAAAATCAAAATTAAAATTTTTGAAATCTGATTGTATTTTTGGATTTGGGAGGTCCATTTGCTCCCTATAGAAGCTAATATTGCTGCATATTCCCATTGAGGTGACAAGAATTAGCAAAATAGTGGTTCGGGCGCTTTTCAAAAATAGTACCGGACGCTGTTCCTCTTGTGACGTCATAGCTCCGTGACCTGACCTGACCCGGTCAAATTTTTTATACCATATGATAGCCAATACTTGCCCCAACATGCATGGGAAGTTTCATCACGATCCATCAACCGATGTCCGTACCACCGGCAGGAAACCTCGGGCGTTGGCACTCAGTTTGTGAAAATCCGGCCGGAGGCTGTACCTCTTATGACGTCATAACTCCGTGACCTGACATGACCCGATCAATTTTTTTTCGGCAAAAGATGCGCAAAGGTTGCCCCAGAGGGTATTGAAAATTTCAGCCCGCTACGACAAGCCGTTTAGCGTGCACTTCGAAAAAACCTCAGGGGGGGGGGGGTTGATACAACCCCCCCCCCCCCCTAGGCGTTCTAGGGTTAATTATCCGACGGTGGTTTTCGCCGCCATACTCGTACTAAGATTACTACAAATCCCGGCCATCAGAGCCACAATCCCGCTCCGTTCGGAGTAGTGGTGTCAATCGGAACTTGAATCTTCGGAATTCCGATTTTGTCCAATGTCCAATTCGGAATTCGGTTGGATAATGACAGCAGGCTTTGGACAACTTTGGACAATCGCTTGCTACACCTCAACATTTTTATAAAGTAATCGTGTTTAACATTGATTGGCTATTAGAAAGCTCAGCTTTCGATATGATTACCTTGTTTTGAGCTGGTAACGATACATTAATTGCAAATTAACCCTCGCCCGTAAACGGTGTTTTGCCACCTTCGCCCATGTAGGGGGGGGGGGGTGCGACCCCCCTGGCGTTTGAAAACGGAGCGTCATAGAGCTTAGCGGAAAAGACCAACGGATTGCTCTCAACGAGATCTCGCGATACCCTCGCATGTGTGCGGCGTTTTCCAGCTGTGTAGGGGGGGTCGGTTGGACCCCCCCCTTGCCGTTTGGCCCCTGATCGAACTAGAGCTTCGCGGAAAAAACGAGCGTGTTGCCCGTGACGAGAGGAAGCCGATGATACCCAATTTTAAGGTCCTAGGTCATTGGTTGACCTTCCAGGTCAGGTCAATGACCCAAAGTCGGGAAAATCGGGACCTGTTAGAAAGTCGTAAAGTGTGACTGCTAAGGGGTTTTCGGGGTGCTGATCACGAATATCGTGTTAGTTTTGATCACGGATGATGTCTTGAAGCATTTAGACCAGGTCGGGTCAGGTCAGGTCAGGTCAACCAGTAGGCGTCGTGACGGGTATTCGTAGTATGTGTCAACCACCTCTGACAGCTTCGTAACATGTTACGAAGTCACCAAAACTACTTCGTAAATGTTCAAATGGTTGCTAAATTCGAATTCAGCTCCAAAAACTAGCCTAGAAACATGTAAAACTCGAAAAAGTGAACCGAGGTCACCCGAGGTCACCAAAGGTCAATGATCTGACCTGACCTTCAGGTGACCTTGACACCCACGGGAGTAACATCAAATCACATGTTTGAACGTTTGAAACCACGAAAAGCTTGCAAACGTGCGGCTAGTGCGAGCCGACATACGCGAAATCGCGATTACGGCCAAACATGGTCTCGGAAAAGAGGTCACAGGTCAAAGGTCCTTTGGGTCAGGGTCATGAAATTTTCAGGATAGGTGTAAAATTGATCAATGCGAGGGTACTGAAAGTTTCGTCGCGATCGGCCGCTTTTTACGCGAGTTATTCGCGAAAAACCATGGGGGGGGTCCATCCGACCCCCCCCCCCTACACATGCGAGGGTTAATATTTGACCTACTTATGACCGGTCAAAGGTCAATTTTTCGGAAAAATCTAACTTTTTCAGATTTCCGCGCCGATCGCGGCAAAACTGTAAGAGATATCGACTTGAAATCTTCACTGTCGTGATCCTCGATCCAAAAGTGGAAAAAGTTACCCCGGCCGCGCCGGGGTCGGCCGAAGGTTACCCCGGCCACGGCCGGGGTGGCCGGGGCAGGTTCTCCACCCATGCCTCGATCAATTCTCTATCGTTTGGTGTGTATTTCGATGTCATAACTCTAAAAATGATGCGTTGGGAGCATCGGAAGTCTGCAAGGTCATTTGTGCATTGGGTCACGTCAGGCGTGTGACGTCACTGACCTGACCCTGACCCCAAATGAACTACAAGAAACATCCGACGATGCCTGAAATGGATAGCAAGTTCGAATTCAGGGCATCAAAACACCCCGAAAAGGCATACAAGTGCAAGAAGTCATTACAGGTCAACCGAGGTCACTGACCTTACCTTGACCTTTAGTAACCTTCAAAATGTCAACGGACATTGTGCCAATGTCAAATCAGCCAGTTGTGATTCTAAAACAATCCATCAGTGTGTCAGGTCAGTCGGCATTTATACCAATGTGAAGCAATCTCCAATTTAGCGTAAATCTGGCTGGAGGTTGTTCCCTTTATGACGTCATAACTCCGTGACCTGACATGACCTTGACAAAAAAACAAAAGTTGCGCAAAGGATGCCCCAAAGGGTACTGAAAATTTGAGCAGGCTATCTGAAACGGTTCGGCGTGTAGCTAAGAAAAACCTCAGGGGGGGTTGCACCCCCCCCCTACATGGGCGAGGGTTAAATAACGGTGTTGAGTGTAAACTATTGCGTAGATGTCGGACATCTTTGGACAAATGGCTGGCTTGGACATTTTTGGACAAACGGTCGACGTAAGCATTGGACATTGGACAGACATTGGACACATGTTTTCTAAAATAGACATCCCTAGTTCGGAGCCTCACCCATTGGTCGGGGCCGGGGTGGCCGCAGCGCCGGCACCAGTCGATCCAGTGGCGGCGGCCGGTGGTGCCGACGGGGCCGGGGTGGCCGCAGCGCCGGCACCAGTCGATCCAGTAGCAGTGGCCGGTGGTGCCGACGGGGCCGAGCCGGAGCTGGCCGGCTCAGGCGCCTTGGGGGCGGACGAGTTGGCCGGAGTAGGTGGCTTGGCCGCGGCGCCGCTCTCGCTGGAGGCCGGCTTAGACGCGGCGCTACCGAACGACGGCCATCCACCGAACACTGAGGAGCTGGAGCCGAACGGAGACGACTGGGCACCAGAGGCCACACCAAAGCCGCCGAACAGAGAGGCGGGCTTGGAGTCAATCCCGGAGCCGCCGAATATCTGGTCTTCTTTGGATGTCTTGTCGCCGGTGGTCGCCCCACCGAAGAGAGATACGGCTTTGTCAGTTCCCTTTTCTCCGAACACCGATGGGGTACCAAAGATGGACGTGGTTTTGGTTTCGGAAGAGGTCGTTCCTCCGAAAATAGACGCAGGTTTGGTTTCAGTTGACGACGCTCCTCCGGAGATCGAAGTTGTCTTGTTACCCGATGAACCTCCAAATATTGACGTGGTCTTTGTGTCCGCTGCCGCCGCTCCTCTGAAGATCGAGGATCCAGACTTGTCGGCGTCGCTGCCGAATGAGAATTTGAACGGCGACGAGGCTGCGGACGACACGCCGAACTCGAACGTGGCCTTGGGAGTCGCCTCGACGACCTTACCCTGGTCGCCGCCGAACGCAAACCAAAACGGGGCAGCCTTGAAATGGAAGGAGCTGTTGGGAGTGGCCGCTCCGGCGCCGGCGGCGGGGGCAGAGGTCACGACGCTGGAGGTGGTGGTACTGGAGACCGCGGCGCCAGAGCCAGAGGTCGAGCTGACAGGCCCCTCCCCCGTGGTGTTCTCGCCCCTTGCCTGCGATGGAAACCGGTGCAGGGGCGGCTTTAGTTCAGACATCCAGTTGAACACATCAGTAGTTGAACATATGAAAATACAATATAAAATAAAGGAACAATGACAAGGCGACAAGGGAACACTTAGCCCTCGCTGGACCTTTTATATTTTCTACATACTCGCACGTGCCGGCCGATGGAAGGGGGGGGGGGGTACGAACCCCCTCGCCGTTATGCCCCTGATGGAGCTCAAGAGCGTTGCGGAAAAAACGAGCGTGTGCGCTGTTACCATACGCAGTAAATGATACCCGATTATAAGTCCGCGCCCCGCTGGGGGTCCTGGATTTCCACGCACTGCTGGGGAAGGGGGGGGGCTCCCCCAGCACTCACCGCACCCGGCTACGGGCGGTGCTCGGCTTACGGGCAATCCCGCATGGGATAAAGTTGCCCGTCCAGCGCGGATCAGGGGGTTGCGGCGTGGAGGAGAAGGATTTGACTATCCTGAGGATGGAAACGATGGAACGGTGCGGATATCGATGGAGGCAGATATAGTCACTATAAGCTGAACATTCCATGAGCAAGGTTAGCAGGCGAACTGGCGACGAAATGGAGAGTGTGGTACTATTCTATGGGCAGACAATAGTGATGGACAGAGGGTGTCGAGAAACTATTAGCCACGTGCCTCGGGAAAGGTAGTGAGCCCTGGGGGCATCGTTCGTAGCTGGCTGACGGTTTGTGTTCTGACTGACTGACCTTGGCCGGTGTGCTGGTGGCGCCCTCGGCGGTCGGCGGACGGAACGAGAAGCTCGGCGTGCTCGGCTGAGCAGGTGGCGCTGTGGTCGGTCCAAAGCTGAAGCCAGTGGAGGCGGCAGCAGAGGCGCCGGTCGTGGTAACGCCAGTCCAGGCCGATGGTGCCTGGTCGAGCTTGATACCGCCGTTCGTGCTGGAGACCGTCCCGGTAGAGGGCGTCGTCTTACTAAACCCCGACCCGAAGATGGTGGAAGCCGTCGTGGCGGGGGCCTTGCCACCGCAGGAAAACAGCTCTTGCGGTATGGGGAGCTGCTGCAGCTGTAGTGACGCCTGCACCTCCAGCTGCTTCTGGTTCCTCATCTGGTCCACCTCCAGCTGCCGAATGGGCAGAAGGAGTGTCAGAGCTGGATACTTCAGTGACAACGGGACACTATCTAGGAGCACGATACGCAAGAATGCATGCACAACACTTATCGTTCCTTGCAACGTGATGAGATCCGACACAACATACCGGCGATGGTTAAATCAACAAGGGTGTGAGATAAACATGGTCAGCACAGTGAAGGTCTCTGCCATTGATGATGCGGTCGGACATTGTTGTGACTGCAGAGGCCACCCACCGCGGGGTTTGACGGGCCAGCAGCGCTCCGTCCCAGTGGGCCTGAATCGCCGTCCCCCTGACTCACGCTCAGCTCCTGCAGCTCTCGGCGCAGCTGCCGCAGCTCCTCGTTCAGCATGTCGCGAACGTCGGCCAGCACCGCGTCCCGCAGCTCCGCGGAACTCTGGGGCCGGGTGTGCGGGCCGGCCGCCGGCGGCGACTGCTGTTCCGTCAGAGTTATGACGGCTTCCTTCAGACCCTTCAGCTCGTTGCACAGGCGGTCCATGAGGGGACGCACCTCCTGAGCGGAGAGTACAGGTCTCGGGTCAGCCACACCCTCAGGTCCGCCAGAAAGTGTCATTCCTTGGATAGGGCACAACAATCATAAACACATACATACATCCGTGACGTTCAGAGTAGTAAAAAAAAACCTAATTCGTTTCTCTAATGTGGAAGTTCCATCCCAGGTCTCTTCTCCCTGCGCACGATTAGACCACTGTCCTGACCTCGACCCGAGGTCAACACCTTCAATCCGCGACCCACTGCACTGGTTTTTTTTGCAATAGCTTCTAAACCGCTTGACGTATCGCCGCCAAACTTTCAGTACCTTCGGCTGCATCAATTTGATACTTTTTTTAATTTCAACTTCGTATCTATCATAGGTCGGCCGGAAATGACGTCAGAGTGACGTCATGTTCGGCCAATTTCGACGCAAAACATTGAACCATTGGAATCGCTCCCAAGAGCTCAGTTTTTAACCCGCGCACCGACGAGTGGGGCCGGATATCCGCCCCCCCCCCTGAGGTTTTTCGCGAATAGCGGGAAAACCGCGGCGCGTAGCGCCGCGAAATTTAGTATGACTATTCCCTTATCAATTTTACACATGGTGTGCAAGTTTAAACCTCCTACCTTTCAAGGTCAGGTCACCAGGTCACTTTGAATGACCCAACCTCAAGTCACTTTTTTGCAAATTTGTCACCGTGCCAGAGCTACAGTAGATGTCGGAGGCCTTTGCAAGTCGCAGGATGTTATTAGGTCATTATTAGCTACAATTTGTATATCTCGGAATTTTGATATCGGTGACCTAAGGTCAGGTCGATTTCGCGACCTCCCCATTATAAGTCAATGGGGGAAAAAGCAACTACCTGTTTTTCCACTAAAACGGGTCGGAATGGCCCCATATACCATACATGACTTCATATACGATCAACTTTCACTACCTTGAGGTCTTTTTTGCTGTTGGGCAGCTGTGAGGTCATGTGACGTCATCAAAGGTCACCAAAGGTTTTTGGCCAATAACTCCGTACAGGAACAAGATACAGACGCGTGGATGGTCTCATTGTGTTCAGCTCGTCAAGACGCATCGAATGATATACATGACGACCTCGAGGTCACGTGACCTGAGGTCAACCTTTGACCTTGCCCTTTCGAGGTCAACATATATATCATTCGATGCGGATTGACGAGAGGATCACGATGATGCCCTTAGTTTGTTCCTATCTTGACTAATTCGAAAGTTATTCGAGAAAAACTCTCTCCATATTTAGCGCCGCCATTTTGACTTTTTCGACCCCTGTGACGTCATCTTTGACCTGACCTGAAAATGACCTTTGTAAAAATTGTAGATCTTGACCGTGCGTATCCGATGCCGTTTGCCGCTTGTCGCTATCTTGCTTCGTTCTCGAGATCTCAGGGGGGGGGGCGGTCATCCGCCCCCCCGTCGGTACTAAGTTGGCGCAGACCCCCGTCGGTGCGCGGGTTAACCCGCGCCCTGGTGGGGTCTGTTCATAACGCGACCTGGTGGGGGGGGGGGGGGCTATCTTTTGCCCCCCCCCCCTCGTATCTCCGAAACTACTGGACAGATCCGCAAAATTCAAACGGCGTTCGAAAGGCCTGTCAAATTTGTCGAATAAAACCAAATTTCATTGACCTCGGGGTCACCGATGACGTCACAGGTTAGGTCAAAGATAAAATGTTTCACCGTTCACGGGTCTTCTAGGGAATGCGCTATAACACCGAGGAAAACGCATTTTGTCGAGAATCAGCGATAGGGCGTCAGTTGCCTAGTAGATATGTTGCTATTAGAGGTCACTGGTAATAACAGGTCAGGTCACAGGTCAGGTCACCAAGGGTCACAGGTCAGGTCACATGAGCTCAACTTTACTAAGGTTGTGTGATACATGTTTTATGGCCAATTTTTCATTTCCAACTCAATGGTGTTGGTTATAAGACTATCAGGTACGGCTTAGGTCACTTTCTGGTGAAGTTCAGGTCAAGGTCAGGTCAAGGTCAGGCGAAAAAAGGTCAAATTTTAAAGTTGATAGTTTTGCATAAAGTAGGTATTGATTCGATGCAGCTCGTCACGGGGAGTCTAAAGGTGGTCTTTGTTTTGCGCTACGGGGTCTAGAATTGCTAAAAATTGGGTTTGAAAATTTGACGTCATCAATTTTGAACAGTTTTTTTCGCTATAACTTCGCCAAAAAAATAGCGGTATCAATCTCAAATTTGGTATGTGGATGGAAGGCGGTAGGGACTATCACATATATTCCGGTTTTTGCGAAAATCAAAAAACTTTTTGGATTTTTCGATTATTATATCCAAAAAATCTATTTTTTGATTTTTAGGGGTCAAAATCCATTAATTTCAAAAATCCGAGATAGCAGTTTTGTAGCCCTGTCCAATCTACAGCTTTTATGTCCTTATCATTTTTCTGTATTTGCAAAGCTATAGGCCTGACAGCTCTTCCCACGAAACCCTTTTTTGGGTCGAAAACGGCAAAACATGACGTCACTCTGACGTCATTTCCAGCCAACCTATCATAGCCTTTGGAAAAATTTTTGGTCACAATGTGTAAAATTGATGTCCGGGAGGGTACTGAAAGTTTGGTGACGATCGGCGCAGCGGTTTTGGAGATATATCAAAAAGTCTGGAGGGGGGCAAAAATAGCCCCCCCACCAGGTCGCGGGTTAACCCGCGCCCCAGATCGCGGTCTCAGCCAGCTTCGCCCTAGTGGGGGGGGGGGGGGCATATGTTACCACCCACCTCTAACTCAAAAACTAAGAGGGCTAGAAAGACGCGGTAAAAAGCAGTCGATAGCTCTCAATGCGTACGTTTGAAAGTACTTGGGTCATTTTTCACCTTAGAGCAACATTGGGGTCACCAGACGTCATCAAAGGTCAAAATTTGCCAATTGTCATGATATTTTTCAGAAAACATGCCGCTATCTCAGAAACTATGGTAGCTAGAAAAAAACATGGAAAAGCAATCGATAGCTTTTGAACATTTCTTTTGAAAAGGTCATTATCAATATTGACCTCAGGTCAATATTTTAGCCTCCAGAGGGCAAAAACTCCAAAAATAGCTGTTTTTACGAAAAGTGTTTTTCGACAATAACTTTCGACTACCAAAAGCCACCACATTTTTAGTAACAGAATCGTGTTCCCCTCGTCGAGACGCGTCGAAAGAACTATAATTTGACATTGAAAGGTAACTTCAAAATTTGACCTCAGGTCAAGGTCATGACCTTACCGGAAAAGGTCATGATGCATATCAGTCGATGCGTCTCAACAAGACAAACACAATGAGACCATCCCCCTGACTCACGCTCAGCTCCTGCAGCTCTCGGCGCAGCTGCCGCAGCTCCTCGTTCAGCATGTCGCGAACGTCGGCCAGCACCGCGTCCCGCAGCTCCGCGGAACTCTGGGGCCGGGTGTGCGGGCCGGCCGCCGGCGGCGACTGCTGTTCCGTCAGAGTTATGACGGCTTCCTTCAGACCCTTCAGCTCGTCGCACAGGCGGTCCATGAGGGGACGCACCTCCTGAGCGGAAAGTACAGGTCTCGGGTCAGCCACACCCTCAGGTCCGCCAGAAAGTGTCATTCCTTGGATAGGGGACAACAATCATAAACACATACATACCTACATCCGTGACGTTTCATGGTAGTCACCCTAATTCGTTTCCCTAATGTGGAAGTTCCATCCCAGGTCTCTTCTCCCTTCGCACGATTAGACCACTGTCCTGAGTCCTGACCTCGACCCGACCCTCGCCGGCACAGGTCATTTTGCGTCCTTCGACGGCACACGGGGGGGGGGGGGGTACGACCCCCCTCGCCTTTAGCCCCTGATCGAGCTAGAACTTCACGGTAAAAACGAGCGTGTTGCCCGTCACGTCAGAAAGCCGTTGATACCCAATTTTAACCCGCGCCCCAGTGGCGGTCTCGGCCAACTTCGCCCTAGTGAGGGGGGGCATATGTTACCACCCACCTCTAACTCAAAAACTAAGAGGGCTAGAAAGACGCGGCAAAAAGCAGTCGATAGCTCTCAATGCGTACGTTTGAAAGTATTTCGGTCATTTTTCACCTTAGAGCAATATTGGGGTCACCAGAGGTCATCAAAGGTCAAAATTTGCCAATTGTCATTATATTTTTCAGAAAACATGCCGCTCTCTCAGGAACTATGGTAACTAGAAAAACGCATGGAAAAGCAATCGATAGATTTTGAACTCTTCTTTTGAAAAGGTCATTATCAATATTGTCCTCAGGTCAACGGTTTAGCCTCCAGAGGGCAAAAACTCCAAAAATAGCTGTTTTTACGAAAAGTGTTTTTCGACAATAACTTTCGACTACAAAAAGCCACGACATTTCTATTGCCAGAATCGTGTTCCCCTCTTCGATACGCGTCGAATGAACTATAATTTGACCTTAAAAGGTCAACTTAAAATTTGACCTCAGGTCAAGGTCATGACCTGACCGGAAAAGGTCATGTTGCATATCAGTCGATGCGTCTCAACAAGACAAACACAATGAGACCATCCCCAGCGTTCTATCTCTTTCCAATCGCGAGTTATTGGCAAAAAACTGTTTGTAGCCTCAAATGACCTCGGATGACCTTTCTAGAGGCTATCAGCAAAAATGACACCTTGGTCATCACGAGTGGACTAAATCATTGTGATTCTGAAATATTTGGACTGTTCCTATGCGTACACACGGATCTAGAGGCATTTTCGTTTTTCTCCATTGACTTGTAATGGAAAGGTCATGCCACTGACCTGACCTTAGGTCACGGATATAAAAAATCCGAGATATACAAATTGTAGGCTCCCATAACAGCATGCAATCCACCAAGTTTAAAACCTTTTTGACAAACACTGCAGGCTGGACATGATTGCAAACTTTTTTTAACCCTCGCCGGCCGAGGGGGGGGGGCGGGTGCCGCCCCCCCCATAGGGTTTTTTTCGCGATAGCTCCGAACAGCTGGCGATAGAGAGCTGAAACTTAGCATACATGACCTTTGATCCAAGACGCATCTTTTGACACCAACCGCATTTTTGGGTCAGGTCAGGTCACTGACCTATGACGTCATAAGTGAACCTCTGCACGGTCTTCAGATGTCGCAACTTCGCAACGCCCTCACTGCCAGAGGAGATGTCACAGGGAAATGAAACTTACAGGATCTACTATCCATTATGAGTGTCACAACTTGTATATCTCGGATTTTTCCTAAAGGTCATATGAGGTCAGGTCATTTTCGTGACCTCACCATTATAAGTCAATGGGGAAAAATGAAAACTGCTATTCTGGCGCCGGGAACGATCTCCAACTATCTCAAGCACACAGAATCGTGATTTGATGCACTCCTTGCAAGGTTAGATGCGTCACTTTTGCAATGTTGACCTTGCGTGACGTCATTTATGACGTCATCAAGGTCATATTAGTTTTTCGTCAATAACTCCCGATCAAATTGAGCTAGCGAGTCGCGAAAGCCATCATTGGACTCAGGAAGACCTGCCGAATCGAATGATATGCGACATGACCTCTTTCGACCAACTTCGTGACCTGGGGGTGCTGACCTGACCTTGACCTGAGGTCAACACCCCAAGTTGACCTGACCCGAACAAAAAGTATATCATTCGACGCGCCTGAGCGAGGCGAACACGATGTTGCCAAAATCGCGGCTCTGCGGCCGTTTTTTGCAAAGTTATTCACCAAAAACCGAACCGTACCCTGGGGCACTTGACCTGACCTCAGAGGTCACCGGTTGACCTAGGACCTTAAAATCAGGTACCAATCTCTGCGTCTTGTAACGGCGCACACGCTCGTTTTTTCCGCGACGCGCTAGCTCCACAAGGGGCGAAACGGCGAGGGGGGGTCTTACCCGCCCCCCCCCCCTCGGCCGGCGCGTATGTAGAAAACCAATAGGTCCGGCGAGGGTTAACCCTCGCCGGACCTCGCCGGACCTCGCCGGCTTGGTCAGTTAACTTGACCTGGTGACCTGACCTGACATGACCTGGGGTCAAAATTTTACACATTGTCCAAAATTGATGTACCAAAAGCTACCCCAAGCGGCGCGGCGCTACGCGCCGCGGTTTTTTATTCACACGCGAATAACGCGACAGGGTGGTAACATATGCCCCCCCCACTGGGGCGAAGGTTAACCCTATTCCTGGCGGGCTCCGCCGGGACAAGAAACTGGCGGGGGGGGGGGGGCGATTCGGCCCCCCCGCCCTCAGATCTCAAAAAGTACACATCGCAGCGACAAACGGCAAACGGCATCGGATTCGCACGGTCAAGATCTACAGTTTTTAAAAAGGTCATTTTCAGGTCAGGTCAAAGATGACGTCACAGGGGTCGAAAAAGTCAAAATGGCGGCGCTAGATATGGTGAGAGTTTTTCTCGAATAACTTTCGAATTAGTCAAGATAGGAACAAACTAAGGGCATCATCGTGATCCTCTCGTCAATCCGCATCGAATGATATATATGTTGACCTCGAACGGTCAAGGTCAAAGGTTGACCTCAGGTCACGTGACCTCGAGGTCATCATGTATATCATTCGATGCGTCTTGACGAGCTGAACACAATGAGACCATCCACGCGTCTGTATCTTGTTCCTGTACGGAGTTATTGGCCAAAAACCTTTGGTGACCTTTGATGACGTCACATGACCTCACAGCTGCCCAACAGCAAAACAGACCTCAAGGTAGTAAAGGAGTATATGAATGTCATGTATATGAATGTATATGAAGTATATGAAGTCATGTATGGTATATGGGGCCATTCCGACCCGTTTTAGTGGTAAAAGCAGGGAGCTGATTTTTCCCCCATTGACTTATAATGGGGAGGTCGCGAAACTGACCTGACCTTAGGTCACCGATATCAAAATTCCGAGATATACAAATTGCACATACTGGTACCCTAACTAAAGCCTGAAGAGAAGAAATTGATCGGTCAAAAACTCTAGCTCTGGCGTGATTGCAAACTTTTCTGAGGTAGGGTCACCAATCCGCCTCTGGTGACCTGACCTGAGGTCAGATCAACTCAAAATTTTAAGACATGTTGCGTAGAAGCCTTTTAGGAAAAGTCAGAAAATTTGAGCTTCCTAGCTCAACGCGTTTGGGAGAAATAACCAAAAAACCTCAGGGGGGGCTCCTGAGGCCCCCCCGCCAGGAATAGGGTTAACCCGCGCCCCGTTGGGCTCTGCCGAGCAACGCGCCCCGTTGGGGGGGGGGGGGGCCATTTTGGCCCCCCCCCCTAAGATCTCGAGAACCACGCAACGTAGCGACAAGCGGCAAACGGTGTTGGATAGCCCTATCAGGGAACTACCTTGTGACCCAATTTTATTGACCTAGGTCAAACCGATGACGTCACAGGTCAGGTCAAAGGTCCAATTTTCACCGTTTACAGGCATTTCAAGAAATGCGTTGTAAAATCGAGTAAAATGCATTTCATTGAAAATCATCGATGGGGAAATGTTCTTCAAACACATATTTTGCTAGTTGAGGTCACTGATACCAGGTCAGGTCACTGAGGTCAGGTCACTGGGGGGTCACATTATGAAAGTGTCGTGTGATACATGTTTTATGGTCCATTTTACATGACAAATGCGATTATGTGGGTCAGGCAGCCTTTGGGGCCAGCTTAGGTCACGTTTTGGTCAAGGTCAGGTCAAGGTCAGGTCAAGGTCAGGTCAAATAGGGTCAAATTTCAAAGTTGATATTTTTGCATAAAATGGATATCGAATCGATGCAGCTTGTCACGGGAAGTTCAATGGTGGTCTTTGTTTTGCCGTACGAGGTCTAGAATCGCTAAAAATTGAGTTCAAAAATTTGACGTCATCATTTTTGAACAGTTTTTTCGCTATAACTTGGCCAAAAAACGAGATATCGATCTGAAATTTAGTATGTATATAGAAGAGCGCAGGGACTATCACATATATTCCGGTTTTTTTTCGAAATTCGGAAAAATTTTGGATTTTTTTTAGTTTTTCTAAAAAAAATCAATTTTTTGAATTTTTTTGGGTCAAAAACCCAAAATTTTGAAAATCCGAGATAACAGTTTTGTAGCGCCGCTTTTTGTCTATTAGACCATATAAAGAACTTTGAAATTGCTTGATAACTGTAGATTTGGTGAGCGTTTCAAGATTGCATGTTTTTTGCTCATTTTTGCTCGAACATGACCTCAGTTTGACCTCAATAACTCCTGACCTAAGGTGACCTAAGACTTGAAATTTGGTGTGAAGGTGTCAAATTGATGCCCGGAAAGGTACTGAAAATTTGGCGGCGCTGCGCGCCGCCATTTTCTTGCTATTTAGGAAAAACCACAGGGGGAGGGCCAAAATGGCCCCCCCCAACGGGGCGAGGGTTAACCCTCGCATGACCAGGCCATTTCTCATAACACGAACGACCAGGGGGGGGGGGTTGTTACGACCCCCCCTGGCGTTTCGAAACGGAAGGTCGTAGAGCTTAGCGGAAAAACCAACGGATTGCTCTCAACGAGATCTCGTGATTGGTGGTATATTTTTTGGTCCTAGGTCAACATTTGAC